ACTACTACTACTACTAGTACTAGTATCAAATCAGGCCGCAGGAGACCATTGGTTTTTGGGCATAGAGTCCTCCTAAACCCTACCAAGAGTATCTCTTTGTCCAAGAAGAACTGCAGTAGAATCTTACCGGTTTAGGGTTTAGGGTTTAGGGTTTAGGGCCCTAAACCCCCAAACCCTACCGTAATCATTAAGGCCCTATACTCGCCCTGAGCCCAGAGCCTCCATCCGAGAATCCCGAGAAGGCATCAGTCCAAAACCCTGACCCTAGCCTATACCGATACCCTATAAATCCCTTTTGTCAATACCGTGGGATTAAAGTTAAGCCCTGCCATTTGTAACCGTACTCACCCCAAACCCTAGAGCCTAAACCCTAAACCCTCCCTGAAGATTCTGGCGCTGGCTGTTCTTCTGTCGGGCTGTGGTCTTGGTATCTTGGTCTGAAGGCTCTCGGTGCACCAGACATGGTGCTTTTAGGGTTTAGGGTTTAGGGCTGCATGTAGCCTACACGGAGAGAAGAATGGCTGTACTCAATATTAATGCTGTTATGACTCAAGGGCGGTATGCGAAATGCATGCATTTCCCTTGAGCATGCATTCTTGTGTACACCCAAACATATGCAGATGTAGATTAACAGCACATCGATGCACATACAATATCCGCGGAAGCTTTAATCATCCCGAACTGCAAAGCACACACCAACAAATCCAACAACACCAAAAGCTCGAACAAGGCAAGTGTCCCCAAAAACACAAAGTACAGGCAGACAATGTGCAGAAACCTATCCACGCGCACTCACACAAATCTTGCAGTGCGGAAAGACTTTTAATGCATCAACAAGCTCCAAAACTTCAAAACCCCCAATACGAGCAGCTAAATCTAAAAGATCCCAAAATCCACGAACACTTGAATGGTGGTTGGTGAGTTGAGACTTCCCAAATTCCAACACTTGCTTTCATGCGCTTAGCATTTCTTGTAAGCAGAACATTGGGTATTGTTGTATCTGCTGGCATTTCGAGCTTTTGTTTTTTGTTTGGAAGCCTCTGCGTCTGTGGAGCTTCGGAGTTCCGAAAACTTACTTCTGTTCGCTTAATCTCCGTCTAAGTGCTTCAGTTTCACCTCATTCCGTAAGATCGTTCTGGCATTAGAAATTTACCGAAACCCTAAACCCTGAACCTGACGTACGTGAACCGTTACAAACCCGGGCAGGAGGGCTATGCACGCACGATGCATGCATGCGTGCATGCGTGGGTGTATGCATGTATGTATGTATATGTATGTATATGTATGTATGTATATATGGAATATGGCTGAATTTCAAATTTAATTAGGATTAAATTCGAATTTCAGCCATGGTTCATCCTGTAGCCGGCTGCCCGCAATGAGGGATTAAATTCGAATTTAATCCTTTTTAAAGGGCTCGGCAAGACAAGTAAGAT